GGGTGATGGAGACGGTGCCGGCGCGGGGGAGGAGGGAGGAGGCGGAGGCAGTGGTGGCGAGGAGGCCGACGATGGTGGTGAGGGAGAGCATTTTGGGAGAAGGGGTAGGTGGTTGAGATGTCTTTTGTGTTTGTTTGATGGGGTATTGTGCTGTAATGAGATCTCGAAAGGAGGATATCAAGGGATGAAGCTGGAGTTTATATCTCTTTCTTGCTCTGCTTGGTAGCAGGACATTGTTGTGTCTGGGAGGACGCTGAGAGAGACTTGAGCTTGGACTTCCTCTTTGTGAGAGGCATCATGGAGTTGGAATGTGATGGCTTCATCTGCTGGTCTCTGGATTTGCTCGTTCGTAGTGAGAGCTCTCTGGTGTGTTGGGACATGGGCATACTCGTCGTCGACCTCCTTCCTGGGGATTGGATAAGGGGGCAACATGCAATCCAGGGAATTTCGACCGTCACTGCTGTCACCAACGATTACATCACAGACCCTGATACGTGAAGAAGGAAATGGACTTCGTTATGATATTATCTCTATAGAGGAGATGTTTCACGAGGCAAATAGGTCATTGGAGTAGGTGGACGGGACTGGGAGTTGTACGAAGCGATCGAGATGTTGGTGCTTGCATCGCCCGTTTGCCTGTTTGCGTTCATTGCGTTGACTGCTTCACGATGCTATTGGATACTTCGGTATCTGTGGACATGGGGATTTTGACCTTGAATTTGATTACACAAGCTTTGACCCTTGGAATCGAGAAGCTTGAATGGACTTTCTTCCAGAGAGTGGAAGACGTGTAGTTGTGTTGTTGCATCTAAGGACGTCTCCTTATAGGTAGACTAAGGCGTAATCTATAGTTTGATATTGAAAGCGGTTGGCAGTCTGGCACCATTAGGTTGAAACTGATATACCCTGCATCTCACCTATGCAAGCCGAGAGTGTGTGGCCTTTGTTTATACGTTTTGAAGTCCTTGTTAGCCCCGTAAGGTGTGTCCATAAGGGATAGGACAAAGCTAAACCCCCATGAGTTCATGTAGCTCCCTTCAAGACACGCCCAGAGCTGGGCGTCTTCAACTGGCCAATGAAAGATGTCAGTTGATTGACTCGTATGCAGCATTCAATGGGGTAGCATGTCGCGGGTTTCTCTCTCAAGGCTGGCTCACTTACACTGAGCCTAACGGCAGGGTATACAGATGAGCATGGGAACAAGGTGAGGACAATGATGGGTCTGAGCACGGTTGATGCACATATACAGCTTATTCCTCATTTGTTTGCTATCATCATGAATTGAGCTGGTACTACTGGAGATATCAGCTTCAACAGTATCAAATCAATCTCACAATGGCCACTTGCCGCATGATGCTCTCGGTGCTGTATGTTGTCAGGAATAGGCAGGCTGTACACTAATTCATAGCTTGTTTCTGTATCCATTTATCAAGTGAAAGTGGCGACTGAGGCGGTCGCGTTATGGAATGAAGCGCAAAGGCCAAGTCAGAGTGAAGCTACGCTCATGCGGAGGAGAAGTGATATTACTGAGAGTAGCAGAGAGCTTCTGGGGAGAGGCTCCTGAACCCAACAGCGGCCGAGTAAGTTGAGCGCCTCTTTGAGCCTGATCAAATTCACATTCTCAACGGGACATACATGTACCCTGGCAGTTTACCCCTGAGAAACTTTCAACGAGGCTAAGATTGGTTTGTCTTCTAGCAATCGTCGAAATGTGTACCCTGCTGGGCTTCTGGCCCCTGAACATGATACATGTAAAGAACTCAATGTTAGACTACATTTGTTCCGATTGGAGAATTGGATGTGAGATGCGCAGGTAAGAAAATATCGAATACACCTTCTTAGTGAGTGTCAGTCAAGTCCTTATTTTCCCACTTCCTGGTGCCTGGAACTATTGTGTTCCACCTGTGCTCCTTGGAAGCATCCAGCCGAAGGGCTCAAAGCCATGCGTGGTCTCCAGTTTTACATCGTCAAGCGACGATCCGGCCCGTTCCTATGGTAAAGCTACAGATTTGGTAGACAAGATTTTTGTGGGTGAGAGAGGGGCATTTCCCCAGAAGTCAAAGGATCTGTTTCCACAAGGCACACTGTGGATATGTTTGCGTTGGTGATGAGCTTGGATGTCCCTGCATGAGCACGGGGCACGCGCAGTGCTGACATTCGATAGAGCTCGCTGGGCTCTCGGAGGTTGTGCCTCTGCTTTCCATCATGCCAGGGAGCGTAACCCACATACACTTGCATGTTGGTCGACCGTTATTGCTTATGGACATCTCCTGAGAGCGTGCTCTCTGTCGCAGCAGGGGGGAAGGCCAGCATAGCAAGGGACATAGCGGCAGGGGGTTCAGATCTCCTCCACTTGAGAAGGTTCCTGTGTTTTCAGGTCCATCCTGTTGGGTCACTCACAACCTTCCACGATAGCACGGACATCCGCGGCCATGGTACCAACATTGGTTCAACCGTGAGCCGTGCCCATGAGGTTTTGGGAGAGTCTAGACATCAAGGTATGTGGCCGCGGCCCACGGCAGAGGCATCCGGCCAGAACAGGTCAACTGTCTGTGCTTTCCCAGAGGATCCGAATGAAGCCGAGGGCATCTGTACTTGGCATCTTGAAAGAGGTCTAATCAACCGGCCCAGAAATCCTGCAAAGGATTGGCTTGCAAGGTACTCAATGGCGCAGTGTTATGATACGTTCCTGTGAGGAATGGCCAATTCCTCACCGAGGCTCACTTGAACAATCAAGAATGTGATGAATGTCACCGATAGTGCATTATCTATTTATTGGCTATGAAGCCCTGTCACTAACATAACGTGACCTCTCCATTTGAGTAATGCTGCCTCTGTAACGCCACTATGAATCCTGCTCAACGATAGAACGCAATCTGTGCTGCAGCTCCTCAAGATGTGATTTGCCATGCTCATCTCTGTAATTCTCCAGGATCTCTCTGCGCATAACGCGTCGTGGGGCCCTCCGTCCTGTAAACAGCTCGAACTGCGCACAACCCTGCTCTGGCAGAAGATCTAGACCGTCCATGGCCACCCAGCCTCGTGAAGCTCCCTCCCTGGCTTGCATCAAGAGCGGCGTGTTCAGCGTCTTGTATCCGAGCTCGATGATGACGCCTCCTGTTTGGTGACTTAGCCAGGCGTCTGGCATCTTGAGTTCGGGCGAGGGTGTGTCGCCTATTGGATGCGTGGGAATACAGGAGATGATGACTGATGGGTGACGGTACTCTGTTGGCCAGGGCTCCTCGAGAGAAGTAAAGACGTGGAATTTGACGTCGCGAGCGTTGGCCAGGGGGTTGTGCTCCTTTTCCTGGAGCAACTGCTGGAAATGGAAAACGAGCTTCTCCGCATTGGCTTTCGTGCGATTGTATATGGCAATATTCTTGATGCCAACCTGCAACATGGCATATACCGCAGCGCGGGCCATGCCCCCTGCACCGATGATAAGTCCCCATGTTGCTTGCCGTACGGCGTTGGCTGGTGACAATCCGCGGCGGATGCAGGCTCGAATCCCAATCCAGTCAGTGTTCTCGCCGTACAGAGCGAGGACAGGACCAGCTCTGTTGACGCCGGCCAGAAGAGCAGAGCCCGTCGGGATGGTGCCGTCTGGCTTGAGCTGACGGATGGGAATCAAAGTGTTGGCGGCCCCTTCTGCATAACTCGCCGTAGGTTCTGACCCTTCTGAGCTATCAGCCGTAGCTACGACAAGTTCAGAAGCAGTTGTGAAACCGTTGTAGACCTCTCAGAGACTGATCACAGCTGCTCAATCGCTTGTTTTAGCGGCTCCGACACCCTTAACACTCTTCTTCGTGGTACAACGGGTAGAACGACGTATAGTTTGAAGGACTCTGAGGGTTGTTGTCCCATTATGCTAGTATGAACCTGGAGGAAAGTGTTCGGGATAGAAATCGAGGTCTCTACGAGTGTCAGCTGGACGCTGAGCTAGTAAGTCTAGAGAGTTCGTAGTAGAGTCGCTTCGCGGCTAGTTTCTAACAACCGTTAATGAGACATAGTTGCCTATGAGTCGGAACCCTGAGAGGTCGAACCTATAGGACCATAGTGTTTCGCACGGTCGACCCGACACTGGACCAGGCGGAGCAGGCTCTTCGGTTTTGTTACCTTCTGTTGAAAGTTTAGAGTGTTGAGTTCAGGTTTGAAAGTAGAGACTTTCCGATGTTTAATGGTGAGTAACGTATGTTAACGCCAGTAGAACCGGCCGTGAGTCGAACGAAGTTGGTTTATGAATGCGAGCAGCGAGGCTCTGGCCACCGCGTCCGGCTGCTCTCTTCGCGGGGGAAAGGGATGTAGTGCCGTTTTCTCCGATGTTTGCGAGATATACGGAGAAAACAGATACTGCGGTACTTAGAGATGCAGAAGCCTCGGTTGCAGCCTATGTCGTACAGGGGTCGTTACGTGTTGCGGCGGAACAGTCGGACGCCTTATGGCGTAGCGATGCTCGGAATGAGCTCGCTCAGGGACTTTCCGCATCGTGTAAACTATATGCTGGGAGTAAAGCCGCCTCGTAGTTAGCCGAACGGGAAGTTCCACCTCCACTGCTGAAACTGGTTTATAGAGTCAGGTGTACGCTCTCGGTA